AAGGGAGGGAATACTTAAGCAATCACTTGTTATTTGAAGTTACTTTATGGAAATCTGCATTCACTTTGACAACAAAGAGTCTTCATCTTTGTTGCTAATTCTTGTCAAAAACGCCAAATTAAATTGCTTCAATGTTGAAAAGCAACACATGCAGAACACTTCCAAGGTGGCTGAATACTTTTTACTGGCCGTGCTGATCGATATATTAACAGAATATGTTATGACCTGGAGGCCTTTGGAAAGTTTCCCAAAGATGTATGATTGCAAAGCTTCACATCAGTTCAAGTTTATCATCGACGAGGAAAATTCAGCTTGTATCAAAGACGTTGATCCAAACGCATTAAAAATGGACAGAAAAAAAGTTTAGCCTTCATTTTTAAAAGACCCATTGTTTGTAGTTATGTGCTTTCTTTTGTCCAACAGCAGCAGCAATTGTGCCCTTTGTAACAAAACGTTTAGTTTCTCTGCATTTTGTTGAAGTCGTTGGACATCCCTGGTGCTCTGAGGTCCAACGCACCTCAGAGAAAAATGTAAATTAAACTCAAAGTTTACGCAATGACAGAGCGGCAGCCGTGGTTTCAGGCTTTGCTTTCAGGCTTCCACCTGTGCTCACGGAGCGTCTTTTTCTAGGCTTCGTCACCGCGTGCCGAGAGCACAAAGTCGCCCATCAGAAGACGCAGAGACCAAAGCACACTGTCCAGGATCTTCAACCTGGTGAGCTCCATCCAACAAGTTTAAATATTTGGTTGGGTTTTTTTTTGTGCAGAACTTTTTCACACTTTCTACCTTCAAACCTGATCTTCACAAACACTGTGTTTCCTGTCTGTGTTCGCTCAAACGCAACAGTGATGCTCTCAACAGAGATCAGTGAGTAACGAATGAAAACAGTCTGAGAAGTCATTTCATCTCATCGAAAACGCTTCTCCAGCTGCCCGTCATCATAACAGACTAACCAGCACACAAGCCTCATTGTTCACCCAAATATTCACTGATTATTGTTCTACTCATAATCTATAGAGGGTTTATTTTCAGTCTGGATCATGAATCCCCAGTAAATGTGAACTATTTGACAATCAACACTTTCAGTGCAGAATCTACAGTTGAAACCAGAAGTTTACAAACTCTGTATAAAAAGACACAAAANGTAGCTACGTCCATCTTTTATACAGTCTATGGTTCAAAACAAATTTCCATGCAGAGGTGATTTAAATCTTTAGAATCTAGGTGCACATTTTAGATAATTGGTTGTCAAACTGGGGGTCGTGGCCCCTCCAGAGGGCCACAAGATGATTTTAAACACTGTTCTTTAACAAACAGTTGTATTATTTTGGTGTGACTCTCCACAAATCAATCGCTCGAATGAATAAAAACGCTGGCGGCCGCGATAGACAGAGTGGATGAACAGTCCTTAGCGTTTAATCAAAGCAGCACAATGCATCTGATGTGAGACGGACGCAGGTGGCGTCGCATCCTCACTGAATCTCATCACAATGTCTGTTTCTTTTTCATGTCCAGTGGAGAGACGTCTTGGGTTTGGTACGTCACACAATTCCTCCTCGAAACACATAAAAGCCTGCATGGTTCCCGTTTAAATCCGCCTGTAGGGAGCCTTCCCCCTGAACACCTGTTATCTAACCTCCGTCCTGCCTCTCCCGCTCTGTGTTTCTTTCCTCCTCGAAGATCTTTCATAGTCGTGGAATTAAAACCGACACAGCAAATCACATCCACTGATCATTTGAAAAGATTGATTTATTCATCTCTGACACGTTTATTGGCTGGATGGTAAAGTTATCACATTTCCTCCTCCTTCTGTGCTCCGATCCAGAGCGACTCTCTGCTTCTGGATGACTTTGAAACTGCTCAGCTGTTTATGAACCACAGCCGGTAAACACTTTCTCTCAGGACCTCCTCCTTCACACCTCCGCTTCTCGTAACACCTCTATCTCCCTTTGTGCCAGAGATGACTCACCGATCCATCTGTTTTGGCTTGTTACCTCCTTTGTGTCCTCTCGTCTGTCCACCGACTCCGGACTGCCCTTTGTTTGTCGTCTGACAGCGACCATCCATTCAGTGTCCGTCCATCCCCTCCCGGACCGTTTCCTGTCTCGGTCATCCGTTTTCTTTTCCCCCTAAAGGTTGCCGTTAAGTGAATCTGGTCCTGCTCATATTTTCCTGCTTTAATGTCTCGTTATTCTCTCACAATAACAGATCAGAGACGGCTGACTCCTCTCCGTACAGCTGCTGTTGTTGCAGAGAAACCACATACCTGCGCCTTTGTTTTTTGAGTTTTTAACCGTCATTGGAGGTTTTCTGCTTTTGTTGCTTTTCAGTTCAATTTCATTTGGCTTTTTTTTTTGACAAGAATTTACAAAGAAGACTCGGTCATGTCAAATTAAAAACAGATTTTTCAGTCAGTGTTGTACATTCTTCTACACAAAACTGACAGATGGCATTATTAGGGATTATGGGTATCTAACCCTTTTTAAGTCCAGACACAAATTCTCAATTGGATCAATGCTTCTAACTGCTTTGAAGGAGTCGTAGGTGTCTCGGTGGCCTCCTTCACCAGCGTCCTTCTTGCTCAGCTTTTTAGGACGACCTGCTCTAGTCAGATGTATGCATGCATCACATTCCTTTAAATTACCTGATGTCCGATTTAATATTATTTAACCAGTTTATTTTATGTATACGCCCTAAAGGGATTAAGCTTCATCTGCGCCCAAACAGGTTTTAAATAGGTCTTTTTTTGAAGGTGTTACAAGCTCGCATCCACCACTGTGCTTCATGTCATGATGCTGCCACCATCGTGCTTCACAGCAGAGATGGTGTGTTTGTGAGGATGTGCAGTGTTTGGTGTCCACCAAACATAGCATCTAGTCTGATGGCCAAAAAGCTCCATTTTGGTTTAATCAGACTAAAGAACCTTCTTCCAGGTGACTTCAGAGTCTCCACATGTCTTCTGATGAACTCTAGTCCAGATTTATTCTGAGCTTTTTCCACCAGAGTCTTTCTCTTTGTCTCTCATAAAGCTTTGATGGTGAAGAACAGACAACAGTTGATGTATAACTTCTAACATCTCAGCTGCTG